TTTCTTCTCCAAACGTAAATAACAGATATATTCCATAAAATATAAAAATGACCACCTATAAAGTATCCCCCCAGATGTTCCGACTCTGCCCAAAATCTAATCAGCTCATTGGACGCTAAAACAAAGCTTAAGTTTAAAATTTGGTGTTTTTCGTTGTATCGGTTCATGAGTTATACAGACACACAGACACACACGCACACCCACACGCACACCCACACCCACACCCGCACGCGCACGCGCACACGCACACGCACACGCACACGCACACGCACACACACACACACACACACACACACACACACACACACACACACACACACACACACACACACACACACACACACACACACACACACACACACACACACACACACACACACAGACACAGACATCATCGCAAAAATAGTCAAAACGGATTCAGGGGACCTCAAAACGTAAAAATCCGTCGAAAACTCGAGGTCAAAAAAAATCATGATTCCTCTACTTTCCTTATATCTGTATACAGATAGGAAAGTAAAAATGAATCATTTTAGGTTAACTGAGACTCTGCTGTAGAATCCGTATATAATTGATAGCGGAGTCTCAATAAACCTGAAAACTAGCAAGGCTGGAGGCCCAGTCACACTCTATACATATAGCGCTAGATATAGTGTATATTAGGAACATATCTTATAGTACCTTAATATACAAAGAACCACAGTTTCATTAAAAAATATTTATTTATTTTTGTGTACCTATTACAAACTTGTATACTGCCCCATTTAGTATCTTTAAACCTGAATATATATTTTTTTTTTATTTGAAATTTTGGGAAACTAAACCAAGGAATGTACACTACCTTTTTAATTATATTAGGTGACGTAATCATTAAAAATGGCAGACGGGAGCCGTTATGGCAAGTGATATATTATTTGAAACCCTTTCCAATGATATCAATATAACTAAAATATTTTTTCTTTTTACTCATAATGAATTCTTTGTTTTAAATGTTCAATGCTATCAACTGGTGTACCACAAATATTTAACCTTTGGCACTGTATTATTCTCGTTTAAAATCAAAGATTTTTATGAATTCATATCTCATGACGGATCAAAAAATAAATAGGAGGTGGAGGGACTTTAGATCCGCATTGTATAATCGAGAGCAGAGGCTATGTGAACCTGAAAATTAACACAGCTGGAGGCCTAGTCGTACCGTATACATCTTCAAAAATCTAAACGCGGACCATACAAGCGAAATCCATTAGGGACGAACTTAAGTTGGAATGAGGTGGAAGTCGTACATACCGTGAGTCAGGCCATTGAATAGGTAGTGCGCTGCACAGCTCATATCACAATGAGTCTCAAGGATGTAAGCATACTTATATTTATTTAAATCTCTATATTCCACACGAAAAGTTCGAAATGGTATATTTTAATTTTGGATGTATGAAAATGAATAATCCACAATACGACACTTCAGTGGAAAGTCAATTTTAATGATTTATAGGACAACGTAACAAAACAATTCGAAGGAACATGAACTTAAATAGATTGTTGCCATTAAGGTTAAGAATAAATAAATGTAATGAAAATCCCAATAAACCAAATTAACAAAATTATGCTGCACATTAAATTACTATTATAATAAGCTTTCAAATGAGCTGTCACACTTAACAATATGTACCACTTTTTTATCGTGCTAAAGGGCGCTAAAATCAAAAGTAACACTATAAACAGTCACATTTCTAAAAATTATTCATTAAATTACATTTGCGTTGATGTGTAATACTTAGTACGTTTTCTATTTAAATTGTATTGGTTAGTAGTGGGAAGGAGGAGAGGGGAATGTTGTGTGTCAGTTTAGGATGTGATAAAAATGTGCCAGCCTTAGAATAAAAATCGACCTAATTTAAACAATTCTTTGTATTAATTTGAAGCAAGTGGTGATACAATTGAAATCAGCATAATAAAAGGAAGCTTAAAAATTTGTATGTTATGTTGGGAATGGGGTGCTAAAACACTACGACCTAAAATATTTATTGTACCCCTTTCGTCGCTAATGCAGCAAGGAAATGTCGCAATGCCTACAACGATCCTTCCAATCATATCTTCCTTGAGTGGCTTCAAGTTAGGTAAATATCACTCTTCTATTTAATATGCTCTTAGGTATAGTGTCCTTGGATTTTGGAGTGCTACAAATTGTCAGAATGTAAATGGAGGTTTTGTCTTCCTCTTCACAGAATCTGCTCACTATATTCTACTACTCTTAGTTTACTTAAGGTGTCCTTTTAGTGGGCAATGCCCAGTAAGGATCCCTGATACAATACGTAACTTGTTCTTGTAAAATTGGTAAAAATATAGGGTGTTCTATTTATAAAATACTGTCATTGACGTCATTACAAGATGATTACAAGATATATTGAATTATGAGAAAATAAACTAAATTAAAATAAAAAGTTTACTTTTTTTATTTTACGTCTTGGTCATATATCACATTTGAGTTGGAATTTTCTTTTTATTTACTTTTATAATAATGCCTAAATATACGTACTAATCAAGGTGCTAACCTTATTATTTAAATAATATCAACCAAAAAAGTATTAAACATTTTCTAAAACAAAAATGTTTATTGTGGCATTTTATTTTCTACGGCGCTCTGTAGTACTTGTCGCGTTCAAGATCGAAAATAGTTCATTTTAATTCTTAGACTGACCCGAGTCGAGAGACAAAACTACCAAGCCTCCTAGTACGTATATATAATCACCTGCAACGTTGCCAAACCCAAAGCGCGCAGCGAATAGCTTAAGGCGCCCAGTTGACATGTAACATTAAACATCTTATACACAGCGAAATGTATATTAGCAGCGCACCAAGCGGCGAACGCCTGAACTAATATTTTATACAGGATCAAAAAACGGCTCAAATGGGCGTCCTCGAGATTTTTGTGTTAATGGGTGTTTTAGGGTGTCTACATCATCTGGAACAATTTTTAATGGGTTGTCACTGGGGATCCGTATATCGGAAGCCCAGTAACAGCGGAGTCTCAGTGAACCTGAAATTTAACATGGGGGGAGGCTCAGTAATACTTTGTAGATATATATATATATATATATATATATATATATATATATATATATATATATATATACATAACGGAAGAGTTAATTGGATTTTCTCCTTGTTGAGTTTCAAAAATAGTAATTTAACATGATTTAAAAAGAAATACATGAAATGGGCAAAATAGGCCTGCAAAGGCACTTTGTAAACAATCTCACTTGTATCGATGTGACGTAATGCGCGAATTCAATCTGGCTTACTTTTGTTAATAGATTGGCGTTCCATTTTAAATATACAGTTCACCGGGAATAGATTATTTAAATATACACGGACCGGGAAAACAAGTACGAAAAAATTCAGTGGCTCCTGGACTAGTACTGTATCGAAGGAATTTTTATGAATGAAACAATATAGGACCCTCCACAATTGCGGTCTACTCTACTTCCGCTGTTGTCAGACATTATTTTTTTTGGACAATTTAAAGACCTAACAGTAATTCAAGCAAACGCAATAACATTACTACAGTTAAAAACATCGCAAACTTGGCATCAATATTTTAATTTTATCCAAATATTGCATTTCTATCGAGGATCATCCACGTTGACTTCAGAAATTGTGTAATCTGTATTGGTTATATATATCTATAGTTAAAAGCACGTAAACTTGACATCAATGTTCAATCCGATTATTGAGTTTCTACCGCGGACACCACCGTTCATTCTTTAAAAATTTTGTAAATAATCCTATCTGTCTTGGTTATATATCTATGGCGAAAACTGTCTTATGGTTTCAGACACAGTTTATAGCTAACAAATCAGTTCCGCTCACTATGCCTCGGCATTTTTGATCTCAATGTTTCAGTTTATACATTGCGCAACTCGGATTTGTATCCCTGGCGCATACAGAATCAAATCGTAATAGCCCAAGAGCCCACTGTAAATTACCGTCATCTGATAACGAAATGAAATATACCCCAAAAGCGTGTAAAAACATTATACTTTATCAAATAGCACCTGTGCCAATTCCAATCCTGAGCAAAGTGGATAAAAAAAAAAAAATGTATTTAAAAAATCACATAAGGCATGACAGTGCTAATTTGTTTGCCCTTAAAGTTTTCCAGAAAATAACATATTCAAATATACCTTTATATATCGTTAAAGGGAAACATTGTCTTCCTCTTAACATCGCACAAAAACATTTATCCATGATAAGTAGGTAAAAATCATTAAAAATATGAATCGATTTTGGCTGATTTAAAAATTTATTTTAACAGGTTGCCATACATAACAATGCCATCCTTCTTCCTATCACACATACAAATGGTTTAAAAGGTAGGTAAAAATATTAATATTTAATTACTTTTTCAGATGACGGTCGAAATTTGCAATGGGCTCTGTTACTATAACCAATACAATATATTATGAAAACCACTTAAATTCAAACAGCAGTCTTTTTTGCGCATTCTGAATTTGTATCCCTGAAGTGGATGATATTTTGGAACATCCAATTGGTCCGAGCGAGCTAACTGCGATTCTTTAGCTATAAACTGTGATTTCAGATAAGTAGGTAAATAAACCCTCTTAAAATGACTGGCCGAATCTCACTGAAATAAATTTCTACTAAGTATACATAAATATTTTTCAAGTTGAACATTTTTTGAAATGTTTTATCAAAAAAATTGAAATTTTGGGTTGGTATGTAGAACAAATCGTAAATTCCAAATGTTCTATTGAAATAATTGTAACTTAATTTTTTGAAGGTGACTTCCCCTCCATATCTGCTAGGAGGAGGTGAGATTTTTTAAAGTTATTTTCATATTTTTTGGAAAATACATACATATACCAAGTTTGGCATGAATATCTCAACTGAAACTGCCATAGCCCTAAGAAGCAAACCCCACATGTGGTAAACTATTTAAAAATGCTTTGAAAATTAGGGTAAATTTTAAAATATATCAATACCTCTCACTAAATCAAGGTCTATTAAATCCGGATTGGGTTTCGCACTTCTTGTTTGTATATGATTTAAGCCATGTATTCTTTGCTCTCTTTGTTCGATTTTTGTTTCCCATTTTTGTTTGTCATATGTACCAATTTTTTGTTGATACCTGTAAAGTAAAATTACTGTAGGTATCTCATATATTAGAAATTTAAAATTATGCCGATTAAATATAAACAAATTAATGATTAAATCGATAGCGGCATAAATAAATAAACACTTTCAGTAAAATTTATTTTTACCTACCTATTTCATTTCTAAATTTAAATTATACCATTTCACAAAAAAAATTTGATAAATAACTTAACTCAAAATATCATCCATTTATTATCTAATCGTAGAAAAACAACAACCAACAAAATAAACAAAATTAATTAAAATTAGACATACCATGTGAAAATGAAGTCAATGCCCATTGAAAGTTAAATATTCCTTTTAGTTTTTCTTTTCTATTTTAAAAACTATCACAATTGCTCGAATAATCTACAAGATAACTTCATCATTCGCGAAATTTTTGATAAATATTCATTTAAACACAAACACTGAAAAAAAATACAAATAGTAGTTATCAGTATCAGCTGATTTTATAACTTCGTGTCTTCCTGTACTTCGATTCACAGAACACTTACTCTTCGATTTATTTATTTATTTAAGCACAGAACAACAAGTATCGTCATGTCAGTGCACAGGCACGTTAGGCGAGTTCGGTCAGTCAGAGGCTGGAGCGGGACAAATTTTAGGGTGCTTTTAAATGACATTTAAGCGTGTTAAACTGTCACTAATCGGACTAAACCTAACGCTAAAAGGGTCGTTTGGAGTTAAAAGTGTTAAAGGAGTTAAAGGAACTTGGCAGACCGAACGCAATGACTATATATGTTCATTACGTTCGGTCTGCCAAGTTCCTTTAACTCCTTTAACACTTTTAACTCCAAACGACCCTTTTACCGTTAGGTTTAGTCAATGAACTGGAGGGGGATAGAATGCCAATGTACATGTTGTACTATTAGAACAAGGTGCGACTCGATGGGCGCAGCCATTTTTATTGTTCATCTTACTCGGGACTATTTATAATAACCATTTTCTGTTTCACATTGTTATTGTTCAATCCACAAGCTGGTGGATCAGACAATAACAATGTGAAATAGAAAATGGCTATTTTAAATACTCCCGAGTGAGATGAAAAATAACCTATCTTCGCCCATAGAGTCGCACATCAAGTCTATTGACAAGCATTCTACCCCACTCCAGTTCATTGGGTTTAGTCCGATTAGTGACAGTTTAACACGCTTAAATGTCATTTAAAAGCACCCTAAAATTTGTCCCGCTCCAGCCCCTGACTGACCGAACTCGCCTATTATTGATTATGTCATATTTCATGTCATTTGTCCTAATTTCAGTTCAGGGGGTCAATTCTCGACTTGTAGGAATCTTTTCCTATAGGAATTTGTGACACTTTCCTATATGTAGAACAATTTCATAAATTTTCGATGTATATAAAAATGTCAAAAATTCCTATAGGAAAATATTCCTACGAGTCGAGAATTGACCCCCTGTGCATTTGTCTTGTTTTTGTTTATTAGGCATTCCAAACTGAATGGCTACCAGTGGGTTTTGACGGGTTATGATATAGCAAAATTATGGCAACCCTGTAGGCCTGGTGATTTGACAAGGTCAATGAAATAGATAGTTACATAGATTGATCATCCATATTTTTCAAAATAAACATAAGCTTATGCCTTGAAGTAAAAATGTAAGTAATTATTTTTTTTAATGTCTAAAGGCTAAAAATTAGTTTTAAAACACATTTTTTCTAAACCGATTCAAATTAATAAATATTTGCCAGGCAATATGGCCGCTCGTAAACGACCAGCTTTGAGCAATCTATATAACTATATATGTATCACTGACCCTGTTAATGACAACATGACAACAGGATTGCCATATCTAAACTGTCATTACCCACTGGTAGCCATTTGGACAGGTCGTTGGAATGCCTAATTAATAAAAGAAAATTTGAGGTTATGTTACTTTGATAATGTAATTTTACGTGAATTTCTGTTATTATATTTTAATAAATTTATTATAATGGGTGGGTACTTAAATGAATGAACCGTAATGACTTTTCTCTATTTATAATTGTTGTAGATCTCAACGATGCAAGGAAAGAGCTAGAAGCTTGCCTGACGGAAGAAATGAAACGAGAATATTTCGCATATCTAAGAAAATGGTTTATGTTCAGTTTGCCGATATCCAAAGAAATGTTCGACACCCAAATGAGGAAGCTGTTTGTGACCGAAGAACAGATTACTTGCCACAACAAGTTCCTGCTCGCAATACTCACCAAATGCAGCTTGAACAATAAACCCAAAAATACGAGGTTATCAAACGAGAAAAGCGGGTTTGAAAATGTAGAATACTCTGATTATATCCAGCCGTCCAGTCCCACAATGGTACCACCAACTGATTTTAAGAACCGGAGTGCTGCTGCCGAATTGTTTATTCCAGATAGTGGTTTTGTGGCTTGTCGGGTAGCAGTTGTGGCTTGGGAAAACGGGATGCAGGGTGCTACTGAGAAAGTGACAGAGTTAATGGTACACGCTTGTCAAGTGTTTGTCAAAAATATCATCACAGCCATGGTATCTAGACAAAAAGACTATAAAGTGAGAGACAAAAAAATTCAATTTGGATTTAATCTCCCTATCCCAGATCCTTTCATAAGGAACTCTAATAATATTGTGGATGAAAGCCTTGAATCAAAGGTAGAAGTGGCTAATGATGATGATAGTTTTAGACCAAAATGCAAGTCTTCCTTGGACATGGTGGTTCAGAAAGTGGCGTTTGCTTATAGTTGTGCTAAAAAACAACCTGTTTTGGATAATACTTTATCAGTTAAATTATTGTATGATACTATAAGGGAGAATCCAAATATTTTAGGTTTGCATTCTATTAGTAGTGCTAACATTTTTAAATTAAGCCTACATATAAATGATGACATTGACAGTGATTAGTGAGTATAATTTTTATTATTTATAATTATGTAAAAAATAGATAAGAGATGTGAATGAATTTAGTTTATTTTATAAAAAAAAATATCTTATAAGTACTTACAAACTTTATTTATTTAGGTACCATACCTAAAAATCTATTTGTTAACCACTTAGGGCCAGTTTTTCAATCAAAGTTTAAATTAATAGCGGATTCGACTGGCTGCATTAATGTACATTTATTTCAACTTTTTTAATTGGTGTCTGTTCGACTGGCAAAACCTAATTAATTAAAAGTCAATTATTGCATTCGACTCAAATTGCTCGGTACCAAGGCGTAGTTAAATTTTTGTTCCAACTGGCAGGCGCCCTTGCTCAAAATTCGAATTTTTTGGAACTGTACTTTTTTTCAGTGCCAGTGTCATTTTGGAGGTTAGGAATTATTTAATATTTTTAAATATATTACCATCTTGGGTTTTATTATTAGTGAGAATGGAAAATCTTTGAAATTAATAGAGATTTGATTTTTGGTTTGGCAACTATAAAAAAAATTCGTTATAAATTTGTTAGAAATCTGAAATGTCAAGTGATAACTGTGCCAGTCGAATAATGATAAAGATGCCCTACACCAATGTCGAACTCTAGCTCGTGCTTGCTGTGTTCACTGCTAGATATAAATTTGAATGATAAAAATGCTGTCCAAAATCAATTCAGAACTAAAAGCGCTTTGTCATCGAGCAAGAGCATTTGAGTCGAATCCGCTATTAGTTCAGTGAATGAAAACTGGCTTCAATTAAAAGATGGTATATTTCAAATGTAGATCATGCCTGAACTTAATTTAAACTATCTGATAAACTGAACCGTCAAAGTTGGACATTTATGGTAGTTCACTGGCGATAGTCATACATAAAAATATCCTATAATGGTGAATACCAATAGTTCGAGATCCTCAATGCTAATCAATTTTATTTTTGTAAGAGACTGTACAAAACACATGTAAGTTTATACATATGGTTATGTTATAACTTCAATAAAATCCATCTGACAACCATGTAAATATATGAATGGTTGTGTACATGACAGGCTTCAAGAGAGTTAATTATGTACATTTTGATTGTTAATATCTCGTTTCACAGACGGTCAAAAAATTAAATTTTTTTTAGTTACATAAAAGACACTTTCATTAACCTTATATTTCAATTTTATTGAATTCTTAAGAAAAGCCGTTTTACGAGTGAACTACATTAAACTAAGATTAATGTTTCAATATTGACATAATACGGAGTGGCCCAAAAGTCTGGAAACGGCCAATTATCTCGTAAATTGCTAATCCTAATTGTACAAAATTTGGGGTACACCTATTTTGGGATACGTAGAATTCAGATTTGATATTTGCAATGTTGCCAGATTTGCCGTTTCTCTTATATTATTAGTCACTTTGATTTTTCAAATTCATCACCCTGTATATTCAGTCATTATTGGAATCTCATATTCAATACGAGTTCATCGATATGTAACACTTATGATTTTATGTAGTCTGGAAGGTCTTAAATAAATAAAACAATCATGGAGAAATGTGGTAGAGGCATTCTACCATTGATTAGGGTACTGTCAACTCACAAATGGAGCATATTTTGAACACTTGAAAAAGTAACCATTATGTTAAAAATGTTATAATCTTTCAATTGTTACGTTTTAATGTAGTTGAAAATAGTTTGTAATAAAAAATTTATTGAGACAATTAGGCGTTGCCAGACTTATTTTATTTTTTTAAGACCTTCCAGACTACATAAAATCATAAGTGTTACATATGGTTGAACTCGTATTGAATAGGAGATTCCAATGATGACTGAATATACAGGGTGATGAATTTGAAAAACCAAAGTGACTAATAATTTAAAAGAAACGACAAATCTGGCAACATTGCAAATATCAAATCTGGAATCATCGTATCCCAAAATAGGTGTACCCCAAATTTTGTATAATTAGGACCAGCAATTTACGAGATAATTGGCCGTTTCCAGACTTTTGGGCCACTCTGTATAAGTATATTTTACAATTTTGTGTATATTTTATGTTTGAAGTAATAAGTGAAGACGATGGTGACATTACTGCACATTTGCTGAATGAAATTCTGACTTATAGATAACAAAATTTATAAGAACATAACATATTCGTTCTTAATTACCACCAGAGTACATAAGCAAGCAAGCAAAATTTACCAACAATAATTTTTCTTCGTTGCTAGAAAATTGGCGGTCCGTCAACTTTGTACCATTTCTTACAATTTTTCATCTTCATTTTTGTCCGAAGTCCCTAGATTCAGCACTGCCAGTATGTATTAAACAAGATCACCAGAATTAGGATTCTCATCTTTCAATACGGCACGTGTTGAGACGCCTATCTACGATCCACAGAATGTGATTCTTATG